GTATTTTGTTCTCTTAGCTAGATGTAAATTTTGTTGCTCTTTCTTTTCTACTAAGGGTTCTAGTGTTGCTTCTTAGTGTGTTTTGCGATATTTTCCTTGTTTTGCTTCTCAATGATTTTGGTCGAGAGATCTGCAGGGGAGAGTTGTGTTTTTTCTTTGTATATTACTATTTTTAATTATATGCTACCAAGATAAATATAGTAACAAAAAAATATTAATAAAACAATATTTTAACACAATATCAAAGAGCTTTACTTTTACATAATCTAGAAATTATACACTTTCTTTAACTAATGAATCTAACTGTAAGAATAATTACTAATAATTTTGAAATTGTCTAAATAGTATACAATTCTTTTTTTAAATTCTAATCTGTATAATTGTTATTAACAAAATGTTTTTATATAATAATATATTTGTAAGAAATTGTAGCCTGCTTAATATTTCAAAAGATCCTAAACAGGTAGTGATTTAACTACACCAAGCCTAGTTAGAATTTTTAAATCAATTGTATATTCATTGCACTCTTTGATTGCAGTTTGTGTGTTCTGACCATTTTTCATAGCAATGACTACTGCTTTAATAGCTTGATGTACAAAAACACCTAGCATCTTATATATTTCTGGATCTCTCTTTAGTGCCAGCAAATCAATTGCTTTCAGATGCAGCTAAAGCATTTGTTTCCATGCATTTTTATTAATAAATAGATTTAAATTATTAATTGAAAGTTTATTATTTCTAAAAATTAATAATTAATTAATTATTACATGCTACCCGAGCTCAAAATCTTTCTAGATTGATGTTGAAATTAGTACTGTATTGTATAATAATAGGGACCTTCTATAACAATATTAGTTTAATGTAAATTGTAAATGCTGCCTTAGATTAATATTTAAAATTTAAGGCATAATGCTATTTTGAATTTTGGTAATAGATACAATTATAAATAAAGTGAAATTACTCTTAATAAAAAATTATTGTTAAAGTTAAAAAAAAAATAATTTCACCCCAACTATAGGTACAATAGTTACTAAGTATATACTTACTATGCAAAGTTTTTAGAAAATTAATTTATGAGGTTTTTAATAAAAACATGAAGTTTGTGTCAATAGTTATCAAACCAGATTCTTATATCTCTAATTAATGCTGGAATATTAGAATCACTTTTTGAAATCTTACACACTTGTAAGATTAATTCTTTGTATAACCTATTTGTATTATTTTTTGTACATAAAAATAGAGCTTTACTTTTTTTTTGTAAGATAAATTTTATATGCTAAAATTAGAGTATTATAAGTTAATAAATTTAGTAGTTGTTGAAATAATGAAAGCTTTATCTGATTAATTTCAGTAGTTTTTGGCATAAAATCAAATAATTGTAGAGTATTCAAGTGTGATGTAATATTATTATTATTATCCAATGTATTGGTTGTCATTGCCTTTTGAATTTCCATAGCTAAATTTAAAATTCTTGGATGCTAAGCTACCCATAGCACAATTTTGAATTTGTTAAATGCATTACAAAGCCTCACATTGGTTATTTGAGATGAATCATGTTTCTTAAAATTGCTTTTATTATCTATTAATATGTAAATTTATATTATGTAGTTTTATTTTTGTTTAGATTAAACAATAGAATAATACTAATAAAAAAAAATTATCAATTACTATAATTGAAACATTAATATATAAAGTTATCTTGCAATATAAACTTACTCTTATTTGTAGAATTATTTGTAGATCTTAGTATAGTTTTTGAAGTTACTACTGCTATATGCGAAGTCTTGCTTGCCAAATTATTAGCTATAGTTATTGTATTATATGAAGCTCTTCTGAGCATTAACTCCTTAGACATGTTAGAATTATTAACTAAATAAATAATGATTATAATTAATTTGATATTAATATAACAAAATCAGTATACAGGTTTTTTTTTTTTAATATGATATATAATAAAAGCAAAAATAATTTGTACATACTATCATTAGCAGAATAAATATGCGAAATATTGCAAAAGATTTTGCATACTGAAAATCTTTTGAAATAACTGTGATTGACGAGAAATTATTTCGAAATAAAATAATTTCGCAATATTGCGAAAGAAACAAAATAATTTCAAAAGTATTTCAGCTAATTTACAAAATTTTAAAAAATAATAAAACTAAAAAAAATGAA